TTCGCGTGCTGTGATAGGAACGATAAGCAATTCGACTTCAACGCAGTGGCCATGTAGCGATCGGCGATACCCAGCAGACAAAGCACCGATTCTTCATCTATCAGCGAGTTAAGAGTATTTTCGCATAATTCCTTTTAAAAAATAAATTGTATTATTAGAGCTGTAATTTTTTATTTAAATATCTGTTGCAACCTTCAAGTCAAAAACTGAGTAGCGATCAGATAGTAGCATTAATTCACAAATTTGTTCAGCTCCCACAGTTTTATCTATAGGTGCGCCATAAATATACAGCAATAAGCGCCGAAATATCACTGGCGTAGTATCGGTTATGATGATTTTTCTAAAAGAAAAAGTTGTAGTTGCTTTGAAAGCTGATTAATAACAATTATAAACGCCATCACTGAATCCGAATAGCTACGAACGTGGTGTATACTTTGAATGTATACCTTCGTAGCTATTCGGATGCAGTGACCTAATTTTCGTAGATTTCACGAAAATAGGACTTCCGATGGATTCAGCGGTAGTTCAGATAAGCAGCTGACAAGTTTACCTCTTTATGCTTTCTTGCATACCGGAAAGAAGGGCTTTTTTGAACCATTCACAACGCGACGATACAATCACTCGATGTGCACGGAATGTGTGTACTTGCGTTGGTGGTCGTTGAAGTTGCACCGAATGCGGTGTTTGCAACTGTGTATGCACATGTGTCACCTCAATGTCATCCTTGTGCAATATTGTTATGCCAGGCAGCTGTGCGTTGCTTGACGAATAAGTATGAACCTCAAATTCCATATCAGCTAGCTGAGCTGAGTGCAATAGACGTAAGGCATTCTTTGATAAATTACTATTGGCGGCAATGGGTGGCTCACATAAGTGTTTTGTCAAGTTTAGCTGCATGAACACAAACAAACCATAGTATAAGCTGCAAAAGCGCGGCTGTAATAAAAAAAGCAGTATACCTTTACATTTTTATAGTCATACGAGCGACAATGCTCCAATGTCAATTCATCAGTCACATTTTCCATGATGTTGTCATTTTCCGCTAGCTTTAGTTCGTGTTCAAAAATATTGGAAGGCTCTAAAAGCCCAAGCTCTATGAGTGATTGAGTAAATTCGTTTTTCTGTACCAGCTTACACACCTAAAATTATGCAATTAAGTAAAAATATATTACAGGTAAACAAGCAACTTACGTTGCTGATAGAGTCGCGCAGCGCAGACTTATGATCAAAAAGCTTAACAATCACGCCATTCTAGAATAAACAGAGCAATTTAAAATATATAGATAAGTATGTGTACATTTTGAATAATTCATACAATTTGACTTGTGGCCAGTTTGAAGCAAAATTTAAACTCCTTCCAGCCCAATTTCTCGTCAACTCGGTCTGAGAGGTTTTCCATTATCAAAATGTATGCCGGTATATCTATAATTAACTGTTCCAGATTTTGATTTATAGTGCTCCTTTTACTTAAGTAATCCATTTCGCAGAATGAATTTCTATAAATTAAAAAAAATATCGCTTTCATTAGCTTATCTATTGACTCTAAGAAGGCTTTTAGCCACGCCTACTTTTTGTCCCTAATAATCTCCAAAGCCGTTGCGATGCGACCATATATATCACGCATCTTTCGGACCTCATACATATACAATACGAATTTAAGATCATTTTCTGCAGTCATGAGGCGCTTATTATCTGTTGGATTATCGTAAAGAGTTAGTCCCACTGGGGGACCACGCCTAAGCCTGGGCGATATAGGAGGTGGACTAAACAGCGGAGCTGCGTTATCTTCCAACACTACATTGGCGCTGATAAAAGCGATGTTTTGAGTTTGCGTTGCAATTGAATTGTCAGACTGCTGTCTCACCGACAAATCCAAATGTGAACAATTTATATCCTGCAACACAAGTATATGTACATGCATAAATGATGCAAAATTTGAATATAAAATAGTGAAGATGCTCGCGTAATGCCTACTCACTTTACACATTTTTTCTAAGGAATTTTTTATTTCCTCGACGACATCAGTTAGTATCACCAATGCGGATTCGATCTAAATATAATTAACAAAGTTTTTAATATAAGACGAATTTATTTCATAAAAGCGCTGTCAAACTTACTTCAGGTACTAAATAATTTACCAACTCTGCTTTCTCCTCTGTAGTTAATCCAATAAAAACGTTCAAAATATTACGCAAGAGTTGATGTATTTGTGACATAAAAATCGGAATTCGTGTGCGCACATATTTGATGATCTCATTTTTTTGGTAGCGCGTTATATCTGTGCCATCTCGAATAAAGATGTTACAAAATTGCAATACTTTCGCACACCCTGTACGGACAACAGCATATATATATTTATAATAATTTTTCATAGTCTCTTCTCGTATGTATGTACGTATCTTACCGATTGCAGATTCCTTGAGGCAGTCTTTGAATGTTGCGTAGAGTGAGGCGGGTTCATGGGATATAGTAACAGGATTGATTGCTTGTATGATGTGGTTGAGCACAGAATGAGTATCCATTAGAGTATTAATCACAACTATTAAGGAAGAATTAATGGTTGT